TGGTGAATGAAGTAAAGCAACAAGTTGAATATATCAGAGATGAACTTCAGAGAATGATTGCTTTTCTCAGAGTTGCTGATGCCGCTGAAGACGATGATCCAGAGCTTAAAGTCTGGATTAAGCAAGTCCGGGATGTTGCTTACGAAACTGAAGACATTATTGATGGTTTCATGCTCCAACTCCACCGAAAAAATGACTGTTGTTGTAGTGGAGTTTGTGATTTTCTCGGGAAATTATTTTGCTCTGTACGAAATCTGAAAACCCGATATGAAACCGCTGCTGAAATCCAAAGCATTAAATCAAGAATGACGGAGATCGCGGAGGGACATAGGAGATATCGTTACAAGTTCAATGTTGCAGAGGAAGGATCAGCTTCAGGTTTTGGCAGTAACCACGGGATCGATCCTCGAGTTGACGCACTTCTGTTGGAAGAAACCAAGCTTGTGGGGATTGAAAACCCGAAAAAACAGATAATCCCATGGCTTGTGGAGGGGGAATCACGGCTTAAGGTGGTTTCGGTGGTGGGGATGGGAGGTTTGGGGAAAACCACTCTGGTTAAGAAGGTGTATGATGATTCTGTTGTGAAGAAACATTTCCAAAACCATGCGTGGATTACAGTTTCTCAGTCATTCGAGGTGGAGGAGCTCTTGAAAGACTTGATTCAGCAATTGTTTCATCAGATGAAGCAATCTCCACCAGAAAATTTGAGTACCATGAATGTTAATAGGCTCAAAGGGATAATCAAAGAGTTCTTGCGGGAAAGAAGGTACCGTTGAACCAATTCATTTTTAGAAGCCAATTTATTTATCTAAATAGTATTCATGACATCTGTCGTGGGCAGGCAGTATTCATACTAGTCTACACATTTACAATTTTTCATAACGGGCAGGATAACACATGAACATTTTTTTTTTTGTTGCCGTTAATTTGTTTTCAACAGGTACTTGCTTGTATTTGATGATGTTTGGAGCATTCAATCATGGGAATATATCAAATACATGTTACCTAATGAGAATTGTGGCAGTCGAGTAATCTTGACAACGCGGCTCATTGATGTAGCTTCATCTTGCAGCAAAGAAACTGATGGCCATGTGTATGAATTGAATCCTTTGTCTGAAAAGGACTCCTGGACTCTATTTTCCCAGAAGACATTTATGGGGAACCCCTGCCCTACACACTTGATTGAAATTTGCAATAACATCTTAAAAAGATGTGGAGGGTTGCCACTTGCTATTGTAGCAATTAGTGGGGTATTGTCTACTAAGAAGGAGACGAGCATTGATGAATGGAAATTGTTGAATTGGAGCCTTGGTTCCGAATTGGAAGGAAATGATGTACTCGAGAGCATGAGAATCATTTTGTTGCTCAGTTTCAACAATTTGCCATACTATCTCAAACCATGTTTTTTGTACTTGAGCAGTTATCCAGAGGATCATCAGATCGAACACAATACGCTAATTAGACAGTGGATAGGAGAAGGTTTTGTGAAATGCAAAGAGGGAAAGACAATAGAAGAAGTCGCACAAGGATACATCAACGAGCTTGTCAACAGAAGTTTGCTATTTCCTGTGAAGACTAATGATGATGGAAGCGTCAAAGTGAGCTGTATCCATGACTTTTACCGCGAGATTATTCTTTTGAAATCAAGAGATCAGAATTTTTTGACCACCAACAATGAGCAAAACATGATTTGGCCTAGAAGAGTTCGACGCCTCTCAGTCCATGGAACTTTGAGAAATACAGAAATCGAAAGGTATGGCACGAGACTCTGCTCGTTTCTTTCATTTCGTGTGGAAGATCACAAATCCATTTTGAGCATTCTCCAGTTGCTTAAAAGCTGTAAAATTCTGAAAGTTTTAGATTTGAGAGGAGTTCCTCTGGAAAATTTCCCGGAGGCTATACTCTACATGTTTCATTTAAGGTATCTAAGCTTGAGAAACACCATGATCAAAAGGCTTCCAAGATCTATTAAGAAGCTCCAAAAGCTAGAGATATTGGATCTTAAGGAGACATTCATAAATGAGTTGCCAATTGAGATTCTAGAGCTCCAATATCTTCGCCATCTTTTAGTATATCGGCATGTACCAGGCTCATATCTACCTTATGATTATGTACATGGTTTCAAAATACTCAAAGGAATGGGTAGTTTGAAATTCTTGCAGAAACTTGGCGTTATTGATGCATATCCAGGAAGCGTAGCACTGAAAGAATTAGCGATGATGACTGAACTGAGGAGAGTTAGCATTACAAAGTTGAGAACTGAAGATGGAGTAGCTCTATGTTTGTGCATTGAGAAGCTTCAAAATCTGTGCTCATTAGGTCTAAGATCAGTAGAGGGAGATGTCCTTGATCTTAGTCACCTGTCTTCTCCTCCTCTCTCCCTTCAACGGCTATATTTGACAGGGCGATTAGCAAAATTTCCACATTGGATACAATCTCTTCAAAGCCTGGTTAAGGTATACTTCAGATGGAGTCAATTAAGGGATGATCCACTAGAATATCTCCAAGATTTACCTAATCTTGTCCACCTCGAATTTCTTGCAACTTATGTGGGAGAGAAACTGTCTTTTAAGGCTGGAAAGTTTCAGAAGCTGAAATTACTAGGGCTTGACAAATTAGAACCCTTAAGATGGGTGATAATTGAAGAGGGTGCCATGCCTTGTTTGGAGAAACTGATCATTCAGCGATGTAACTCATTGAAGGGTGTACCTGATGGAATAGAACGTCTCTCTAACATGAAAGTTCTTGAATTTTTCGACATGCCTGATGAATTTGTCGCACCACTTTCTTTAGAAAAACATGGTGGGGAGTACTGGAAAATTGCACATATTCCTCAAGTGTATCATACATACTGGAGGAATGGGTGCTGGGAAGTATATCCATTAGATGGAAAGCAGACAAATGAGCAATCTGGACAACCTAAAAATGCCATTGTTAGGACACAGGAACAAAGGAACTGGTTGTAATTCCTATTAATCACGCAACATGGAGGTTTACTGCTTCAAGCTTCTTGGTACTTCTTGCTCAATTCTGTTTGTCTTAAGCCATGTACATATGTATTTCTAATATTTTTGATGTTTTTATTACCATTTGTGTGAGTGTAATTGTCTGTCTGTATTTGAAATCTACTCAGAATTTATTAGCTGCTTTCATGTTGTGATGTATAATAAGATGTGATTAATATTTGGAGAAGAGAATTGTTGTAATAAATATTATCCAAAATGCACATGGGATTGCTGCAAGGCTCGATCAACCTTCATAAATGTTAGTAGGCGTCATAAAAATATAATATATTAAAGAAATAACCGAATGAACAAACAAGAAATTAAGTCACTGAAGGAATGACGGATTAGTGAATTGAGGCCCGTGTATATTACACAAGTGTCTTTTAAACAAATTTGCTCCCTCACCTTACGTGTTTGAGGTTTCGTTAAGAGTCTGTCTCCCAAGATACAAAGAAGAAATATGTAAAATTGAGTACCAAGTTTCTGCACCGGCAAACTAAATATATATGAACACAATCACAATGAGGATGGAAACTCGAAAATTTCGGGTAAACATAGATAGACAAATAAATGCAGACAAAGATGGGAATTTCGTATGCAGAAAAAGGAAAAAAATCAAGCTCGATTATAGGTTCATGAATGGAAAATAATTTCATCATTTAACATGTCACCACTGGAGGTTCAGGAGTTGTAGAAGCCGGAAAAGCATATTAAAATTTAAAAAATAAATAAATAGGGAAAATAAGGCAAAACGTGGACCCCTTTCGGTTCGACATTCGTATATGCAAGTCGTGCTCGCACACGAGTTTAATGGCCCAAGGTGCCATTCTGTCCGTGATTCGCACCCGAGGAACTCGCACCTAGAGAGAACCCATATGCTACATATTATTACACCATCAAATGTGACCATATATAAACCAATATGTGCCTGATCAATTGTTTTTTGTTTTGGACAAACAACTATTATTTTTCCTTCAACATATAAACCTCTTTCAATAGGTACACTTCGAACTCCAATTTCTAACTTACTCGAGCTTCATTTTTGACAAGTAAATATGTGATCTCAATGCTTTCATAAAGGAAAACATAAATCTATTTTGATCTTCCAAAATGAAAAAATGAGTTACACTTAAAAAATAAGTCAAACAACCTCTTATAGAATAATTTTCCAACACTAAATTGGTTGAAGAATTAATAGGACTAGTGGCTTCGCAATTTTTAAAGAAACTCATTCCTAAAGGCAGTAGGCAGTGATATTTTAAAATAGTATGCTTATGTTTAGGAAGTTGTTAGGAATATACATCATTTGTTTAGACTCAAATATACGAATCAAAAAATAAACAATAAAAAGTAGCAAGTCACTACATATTGGTTATAAATGATCAAGGTTATTAATTCAATTAAACCCTAATTAAACAATTGTATAAACATTCGTATCAAAGCACTAAAAAGTAAATTACCCAAAAATTGATGTAAGAGGAAAACCCTTTGAACAACTCTTTACAGGATTAAAAACCTTAGGACTCTATTGAACGCGATTCTTTTGACTTTAATTACAACTCAAGTAACCATGATTTTGGATACGTGGGATAAGGGGGCGGAACTGTACACTTTCATGTTCAGAGTATTGTCCAAACAGCTGGCTGCTAAACAGAATCGACTGTTATGGCTGTTTCTCATTTAAAAAAAAAAAATAGTGTTAAAAGCCGAAATTTTTGACTACGTATTTTCTCAAAAAAATATGTCCAATTGTTTCGCCTTTTTTTTTTAAAAAAAAATTCATGTTAAAAGTCGAATCTTCTACTATGTATTTTCTTTAAAAAATTATGTTTCTTCTTGCAGATATGGTTGTAATGTCAGTTTGTTACTTTAGTGACTTCGAATTGATGAGAAAGATCAATGAGTATGGAGATGGACAAACGTTAGACGTTGTGGTACTCCAATTTCCATAACTAAGAGTACAACAAATGCGAGAATATACCATGATTTACAAAATAAGTTGAATGTCAACCCCTCTTAGTACGAAAGGGAACTGAGATTTCGATTCAAGAATGATCCATCTATTCTGATTCCACCTATGAAGGTTACTTCTGATGAAAAATTGAACTATCTATTTGAGTTGAACAAAATGTACCCAACTCCTCTTTGGGTGATTTTAGTGAGGAAGGATGTCGCCGAAGTTGAACACGAAGATTCAGAGGGAGGAGATCACAATGCCAATGATTTTGGAACACAGTGGAGATAGCTCGTGAGGATGATGTGGTTAATCCCGAGCCAGTTGTTCCTCACGCAATCTCAGTGTTATACACAGAATTCCATCGGTAGTTCACGACATCGAGAATGACAATAAATTTACAAACGAGGATTCGATTGTTTTATCCGTTAGAGACATGAGTTGGGTATGAGCGTAGGGGTTGGAATGAGTAGAGCGTCATCTAATTCTTTGCATGTGGTTCCCGATGATGATGATTTGTACGTTGAGCAACTGTTTGAAACAAAGAAAGATATGTAAGAAGCTGTGCATCGAATTGTACTGAATTACAACTTTGAATTCAAAGTTAAGAAATCAAACAAGTCATTGTTAACGATTGCCTGCGTCGACGACAGTTGCCATTGG